TTATTAAACTGCATATCTGCTTATTAGATTAGTTGGTTAATTTAATGTTGATATAATTCAATTTGTTCAGCAAGGATTTTCATCTGTAATCAAGTAATTCTTAGTATTGCAGCTCCAAGAATATACATAATATATAAAATATACTGTTTAGCACAACCATTTTGTATTAAGCACAGTCACATAGTAACTTTAGACTCTAAAGTTTAGAGTATTCAGTATTGTCCTGTGGCTATTGGAAAGATTTCACAATTCTGGGTTATTTTGTGTAAGAACTGACACTTTGTTCTAAAGTCAATTTTGAAGGGGGCACAACTGATTTAAAGTGGAGGATTGGGACAGAAGAATTGCCAAAAAATAAAATGTTATGGCTACTTATCTGAATCCCTTGGACCCCAATTGCTTGATAATTTTTCCCACCTAGCCCTCTGTACTTGTAGAAACTAAGGAAGATTACCTTAATGGAGAAATGCAGGAACTGTTACCTAGGTAAAAAGGGTGAAACATTATTTAAGTTCAGAGCAACAAGATAACATTCATCTCAGACAGATGCTTCCCTGATTCTGATGGAGGACAAGAAAAAGGAGGAAGTACAGCACAATCAGACTTGCAAGATTCTCTTATTATAGCCAACCTCAGTAACAATAGTTTTAGCCTTCCTGTGGAGTTGATTTCCTGGTCTGGTCTACCTAGTGGGGCTGACACCACCATTATGGAGTTGCAGCTCACCCTGAATAATTCAGTTCAGCCCTCAAATACTGTAATGTTTGATCCAGGTATAAAGTCTTCAAGTCAAATTTGCCACCTTCCTGGTGACTTCAAGAACACCTCCTTGGCAACCATATTCCTTACCATTCCCTTCTTCTAATATATGTTCAGCTTCAGCTCTGGGATTGTCTGGTGATGTCCTATCTCTCCAGGTCCAACCTTGCTTAGCTTTTTGAGATCAACCAAGGTCAGCTTGGGGGTGAGAGACCAGAACCGACCTTTATATAGCATCCTCATGTAGAGATGCCTGTGGTTTCAGGAATATGGACCAGGTTCTATAGCACACAGCTCTGTCTTCCAAGAGAGCAGAGTAACAGTATTATCTAGGAATTCTCCCAAATACTTATTACAGCTGTTCAATGTAAGTCATTGCAACTTGATTTCATTTTCCACATGCTACAAACATGGCATTTCATACAAGGTACAATGTGTGATCTCACTTTTTAAAATCTCTTCTATTGATAGTCACATTCCATTTTGTTAAACATTTATATGTTGCTCTTCATTTTATTTGAGATTGTAGATTGGTGGATGGGCAACTCTAACACAAACAGAAATGAATAAATTATCCTGGCAAGAAAAATATTGCATTGTAGCTTCACAGGCACACATTTTTATGGAAGGCATTCCACAACTGGGGCATTATTGCTGGGAAACCCCTTACCTTTGTTGTTCATGTCTTTGATCAAGATGGTACCTGGAGAAAAGTCTTGGCAGAAGATCTTAATGTATAGGCTTAGGGAATGATTATCTAGGGGACCACTTTGCCTGCCATTAAGCTAGCAGCAGAGGCCCTTCTGAAGATATTGCCACCCTGAGTTATACACAGGAAGGGCCTTCTCCTATGTGGCTCTTGGGCTGTAGAATACACCACCTTTGCAAAACTGCTTCTGCCCCACTCTCCCAATATTTAGGATACTGGTAAAAACACATATCTTCCGCTAAGCTTTTAATTGTTAATTTATTTAATATTTGATTTTTATTTGGGATTTAATTCTGTTGGTGTTGCTTGCTTGCCTTTTGTATTCTCTTTGCCTTGTAAACTACCTCGAGTATCAAATGGATAGAAATGGAAGGTATAAAGCCAATAATAAATAAAATAGGCAGAACGTTATGGAATACACCTTATATCTGTCTGGAAATGCCCTTCATAATAATCAAAGGGTTTATTTCAGAAAAGATTTATATCTGTGAGCCGCCCAAAGTTAAGATGGGTGCCCATACAAATCTTTTAAATAAATAAATAAACAAACAAAACAAAACATAGGTTGGTCTTTCAAGTGTCATAGGACCATTGGATTTGCTGCAACAGATTCATAGCACTACTCTATGTGGTGGATGTCTACAAACAGGTCAGTCCAACTAAGTTCTATGAGGCTTACTCTAAGTAAATGACATGGAACACTAACCATCTGAAAATTATTTATATTTCAAAATTGTCACCACCCATCTCACTGTACCTCAATAACTGTACCTTAAATACAAGAGAACTTATGATAGCATCAGGTTGGATTCCATTCCAATTGTGCCACCTGTTCAAGAAAACTAGATAGATACAGCTTCCTCTAAACTAGTTACCTCAATTTTTTCTTTAAGTTTCCTTGGGCTATAACTCTGCAGTGATGGAAAGATTTGATTTAAAGAAGAAACACAGAATATATTTTCTGCTCTTGCAGGACCAGTAGAGGGAGCTCATTAAAAGGCATACTCTTAAAATTATTTATGTCCTAAATGCCAATGTTGCTTGTATGCAGGCAGCAAAGTTATGTCACACAACAGTCCTAGCTACTGGAATTTTGTTGGACAGGTTAAGGATTAGGGAAAAAATCAATTAGAAAATTGATTTTAACAAATGTGTGAATTCTATATACTAGCTTGAGTTTAGCAATACTCTAATACTTGTTACTTTCTCCCTTGGTAACCTCTATTTCAACAGGAAATTGCTGACTGAGTTTGGAAGCAGAACTTGGCTACAGTGCCAAATTGCCATATTCCTTATTGCTCCTGTATGTCTGTGTGACATGGGAAGCTAATGGTTTTGGAACTCGTTCAGAATATAAGACTTAAGTTTTGACTCACCCAGCCTTTCCTCTTCCTCTGTTATTGCTAACCTACTGTTCTGAATAAGAAAATAATAGATTTTTAATGCCTTTTCAACTATGAGGATCTCTTTCTTCTCAGACTATCAGGACCTATCCTTTTCTTCAAAAATTACAATACAGCATTAAATGTTTTAAAAATACATATTTACTCATTTTTCTAAAAAAATGTTTTTATTGTAAACTTCTAGACACTGTAATTTTAATAATTCAGATTTTGGTTGTTTATTCTTAGATTTTTAGATATTCAAGTTTGTACCATTTTTCATATTAACCTTTTCCATGAATTTTTGTTTTATTCTCTTAGCTGCAAGTGTCCTCCCCAAAGTCCAAATAGACACAAAATCCTTTTGCTGTCATCTACCTTTATTTCTCTTTAAACCTCTAATTCTTCATTATCTTTTCACAGTCCAAATTTAGACTGCCTTAGAGGCAAAAACTTTAACACAATATGCTTTGTAATGTATCATGCACATTTAGAGTGACATGTAAGTAAAATATGGGATAAACACATCATTGGGGGAATATATTAATGAGAAAGAATATTAATAAAGAATTAAAGGTTAATAATACTTTCTCATTACCAATTTTAGCTCTATGTGCTTCCCTTAACATTGTGAAATTAACAATGGAAAGTTAAAAATGTTTTTGGTTCTTCACTCACACCCTAATAGGCTTCAACTTCTTCAGCGTCCTATTAACTTCCACCACACTCCTCATTCCTCCACTGTCATTTCTAACTGTAACTGCCAATGTTTCTACAAATCAAATAATTATTTTTACCACCGCTTATCATTAACTCTCCCAACCTCCCCCCCCATTCTCTTGCAGCCAGATTCTAGCTTCACATGACATACTGACGATAAACGACCCAATCCACGTTTTAACACGTGGTACAATTCCAGCCCACAGTTCACTGTGTCACGTGAACTCAGAAAATTCGGTGAGAAAATGACATTTAAACTGTGGGAAGATATCCCATGCAAAGAGTTTCAGTTACCAATCCTATGCACGTTTACTTGAAAATCAATCCACCGTGGAGTCCTTGGGGTTCTCTGAGCTTGGTTGTTTTCTTGCAAACGTTGAAGATGTTACCTAGCCGGGTAACGAAACGTTTGCAAGAAAACAACCAAGCTCAGAGAA